TTTTTCAGATTATAAATCTAATCTGAACTGAAAAAAATCTGAACTGAACTGAAAATTTTGGATTAATCTGAAATTTCGGATCGTTTGGAATGATGAAATTATCGTTCCAAATGAACGATAAAAGAATCATTCGATTAGAACGATTAAATTATCATTTTAAAAGAATGATAAAAGAATCGTTCGTTTGGAACGATTGAAGTTATCATTCTAAATGAACGATAAGAAAATCGTTTATTTGGAACGATTGAAGTTATCATTCCAAATAAACGATAAAAAAATCATTCATTTAGAACGATTGAAGTTATCGTTTTAAACGAACGATAAAAAAATCATTCATTTGGAACGATTGAAGTTATCATTCCAAACGAACAATAAAGGATCGTTCTAAATGATCCAAAATTTCGGATTAATCTAAAATTTTCAGTTCAGTTCAGATTTTTACCGGTTTACGATTCGATTCAGTTTTGGATTGGCATTTTTAGGATTTATAATCTGAACTGAATTGAACTGAAATTTTCAGATCAGTTTCGGATTAGCCTATAATCCAGACTGAACTGAACTGTTCAGAGTATTAATGATCGCTAATTTTCAGATATTATTGCTTTTGATTAAACATTTTATAGGGTTTGATTTCTTTATTAAATCTTTTGCAAGTTTTCATTCATAACGATCTGTATATGATATTATATAACAAATATTTAGCAGTTGACGAAAGAATCCAGTAATTGTAACATACAATCAAGGCTTATCAGAATTTGAGGTAGCCAGATCTTTAAATAAGAAAAAGCTATATTTAACAGTATAGATATAATAAATGTGACTATTTTTATTATTTGATCTGGAATTATTTCCTTTATTGGAGTTTCCATTACCAATTATATACTTTTACCTTTCTTTGATATAATTCATCAACTATTTCAAAAAAAAGTTATTTAAAAAATCTGGAAAAGCATTGTAATATTCTTGAATGATTTATGAATATTTCAGAGCATCCTTATTCAGGTAGATTTCTAATTGTGAATTCCATAATTTTTTTTCAAATTCATGACCAAGTTGCTCATAATCATTTACACTCTTCTTTTTCTTTTTTTTAGAAATTTTCTTAAAAAGGATTTTTATTATTAATAAACTGAAAGATTTGTTAGGGAAAATTTTTTCTTCATTAGCTGTTAATGTACTAGTAACAGAAGTTATGTTACGATTAGAAGTTATTTCACAAAAAATAAAAGAGTTTTAAACATTTTTGTTAAAATCTTTTTTTTTAGTTTCATTATCTAATGTTTGTGTGATATTAATTAGCCAATTTCCTAAATATTCAAGTCCTTTTGTTATATCATTAGCATATAACTCTTCAGAAATATATGTTGTTGCTTTTTTTCCTTTGCCAGGATGATGATGAATATAACTGCCTAAATTTTCATAATATAAATAACAGATATATTATTCCTACTTTATGTTATCAAAAACCTGTTTGCATATAGATAAATATATTCGTAATATTTTATATAAATACTGTCTAATATATAGCACTTGAATATTTTATTCATTCAATTTTTAAGAATGTATTGTGCATCTCACATCCTAAGAAAAATAAGTAATATATGTATTATATGAAATACAACAACGCTATTGAATGATACCTTGATTAAAATCTTTTACTTATTTATTCTATGATTTATGCAAGTACTTATTATCAAATTGAAAGTGAGAATCACATATTTCTAGTCTTGATAACATGTAATCAACTTCTTTAATTACTTCTCTATCGACTTGTCATGTATCAAATAAGTTTCATAATTGTCTTAATTTTATTGTATCTTCATATCATTAAATTTTACTTTTAACAAAATCAATAACAACATATGGTGTAAACTCTATATTTTCTGTATAATCTATAATTTTATCTTATTCTTCAGATGTTTCATAATTATTTTTCTCATTTTCTATTTCAAAGTCTTTTAAATACATATCATTATTATAATTAATAAATGATTCATTAAAACTTTTTAAAGGAACTTCCTCTTGTTCAAACTTATCAAAGCTTATTTCATTATTATCTGAAAAAAATAATAAAGGTAGTGAAGAAGAAATTTCGTATTCTTATTTTAATATTACAAACTTTATATTTTTCTCTTTATTAAAAGTTAGCCAACTTCAAAGCTAAGATGCAAATTATTAAAGACTTTTTTTATTTAAATAGAGACAAAAATCATTAATTCTTATTCTAATGCATCAACTTTCTTAGTGTTACAAATCATGATTTAACAGCATCTGATCCTGATAAAAATTAATACACTATAAATTTAAAGAAATACAAAGTATTTTGTAAAATTTGAACATAGATTATTATGTAGAATTTTTTTTAGGATTAAAAAACTACTTTATTAAAATCGTTAAAAAATGTATGCTGATCATATATTAAAATGGACTTTCCATACCGATTTCTGAAATGACCACTGACTGATAAGTATAGATAAGTAACTTTAACTATGATTCAATAATAATATTTTTCTTTTTCTTTAATAATTATATTATAATTAATATAATTAATAATAAAAATAATAAAAGTAAAAACAAAAAAATATAATAATGATTATAATACCTATTATTTCATTTATTACATATAATATTAATATAAACTTAAAATTTAAATATTATTTTAATTTAACAAAAACTTTATTAAACTAACTAATAAAAACATAGCATAAGTCTAATAATTTTATAAATATTTACATAATTTCAATTACATTTTATTTTAAATCATACTCATAGAAATTGATCTAATAGTTAAATACTCAAGCCAAACATATTAACATTTTTCTTTTCCTGTTTGCGAATGTTACACGGACCATTTATATGACCGGAAACAATATCACGTGATCATTTATTTTTAAGTTTTAAATTGTTTGTAGTTTGATCAATTCACTCAAATTTTTGAAAAATGAGAATAATAATTAAAGGAGGTATCTGGAAAAACACGGAAGGTGAGTCAATATAACATTCTTTCAAATAATATATACCTCGGTATAGTCGAAGATTTATATTTGTTTGATATGTATGTATAGACGAGATCTTGAAGGCTGCTGTTAGTAAATACGGCAAGAATCAATGGGCTCGTATATCTTCGTTGTTGGTTAGGAAATCACCAAAACAATGCAAAGCTAGGTGGTATGAATGGTTAGATCCTAGTATTAAAAAAGTAAGTCTTGGCTTATTTATGCTGGATATTATATATTATCATATTATTTAAGTTGTCTTTTTCGATAACTTTGAAGTTTTATATTTATTTTTTTTTGAAATAATATTAAAAATTAAATTATTTAATGAAATCTAGACTGAATGGTCCAAAGAGGAGGATGAAAAATTACTTCATCTTGCTAAGCTGATGCCTACACAATGGCGAACAATTGCGCCTATTGTAGGAAGAACACCATCTCAATGTCTTGAACGATATCAGAAATTATTAGATGAGGCTGAGGCGAAAGAAGGAGCAGATTTAGATTTAACTGGGCCAGTTGGAGATGCAGGTCCTAGCGCTGATGATGTTCGAAGGTTAAGACCTGGAGAAATTGATCCTGACCCTGAAACTAAACCTGCAAGACCTGATCCTGTTGATATGGATGAGGATGGTAACTGCCATTATGTTTATTATTAACCAATGATTTTATCAATAATTTATTTTAATCTCATTTTCTAATTAATCTTAAACAGAAAAAGAAATGTTATCAGAAGCTCGAGCTCGTTTGGCTAATACACAAGGTAAAAAAGCTAAACGTAAGGCACGCGAAAAGCAATTAGAAGAAGCTAGACGATTAGCTTCGTTACAAAAGCGACGAGAATTAAAAGCTGCCGGGATTGAGTCGGTTATTTTTAATGTTTATTGTTTCTATTATTGCTTTATATATATATATCTTATTTTTATTCATTTTTAGTTTGAAAGGTAAAAAGAAGAAAAAAGGAATGGATTATAATGCTGATATACCATTTGAAAAGAAACCAGCTCCGGGATTTTATGATATTTCCGATGAAAAGAACCGGCAATTAGAACAAGGTTTTTCTAGTGGCCTTCATAAATTGGACGGTAAACGAAGGTCTGACGTAAACGAAGAGAAAAAAAGAAAAAAACAAAAAACTAACAAGGATGAAACTGAGGGCGGTCAAATTAATTTTGTACCAGCTAAAGCTTCACAATTGAATAAGCTTAAGCAGGCTGAACAAATAAATAAAAGAAGAAAACTTGTTCTTCCATCCCCACAAGTGGGAGAAAACGAGCTTGAAGAAGTAAATTATTATATTTGGTTTTTTTCTTTTTTTTTGTTAAGTTTTTCATTTGTTAATATTAAATCATTTTTTAGATTGTAAAAATTGGGTTTGCTGGAGAAAATGTTAGAGCTGTTGTTGGAGAAACCGAAAATGTTTCTTCACTTGGCGATTATACACCGTCTACATCTGGCTTGCCATTGAGAACACCAAGGACGCTTGGTGGTTCTATGCAAACACCAAGGACTCCTGCTACAATATTGTCTCTTAGGACCCCAAGAACGCCTGCGTCAGGTATGTTGAAATTTAAATGAATCCACAAATTAATTTAAACAATTGAATAAATCATTTTATTATTATTATTATTATTATGACAGCTAGTGCAGCAACGATAAAGCAACTTAGAGCTGGGCTGTCCAATTTGCCAGCACCGAAAAACGATTTTGAAATTGTTTTACCTAATATAGAAGTCCAAGAAGATCAAAAAGATGATATGAAAGGGATAGATGAGGATGCTAGTGATAGGGATAAAAAAATTAAAGCTCAACTTGAGGAAGAAGGTAATAATTAAAAATACTGCTAAATTTTAATTGTTTAAACGAAATTTTTTATTAAGTCGTCTATTTAATTATAGAGCGATTACGACTTTTACGCAGATCTCAAGCTATCCAACGCGATCTTCCTCGCCCTACTCAAATCAATCCGAAATTAATTCTTGAAGTTGCTTCATATGAAAGTCCTTCCAGTGATCTTCTGGAGATTGAAAAGTTAATAAACACGGAAATGGTACAATTATTGAATCATGATGCAATTATGTATCCAATTCATGGAAGTAAGATTGTTGGTGGAAATGTAGACGAATCATTTGAGGAATTTCCTGATGATTTAATAGATAAAGTTAAAGAATATTATATTAGCTAAGTTTAGTTGGGTTTCTATCATGTATTTATCTAAAATTACTAACTTTTTTTATAGGCAAGGAAAGCCATTGATGAAGAACTTGCCATTTCTACCAACGATAATCTTATCATTTCTGAAGTAGATAATTTTTACGATATTTGGCAACGATTACATGAAAATCCTGAAAATAGCTATTTTCCAAAGGATTTAGAAGTGAGTAAATTACTTTTCTTTTTTAAAAATATCATAACATTATTTGAATTACATTGATTGGATCTTTTTTTAAAAATATTTATATATATAATATATAAAAATAAAAAGATAAATCGTAATATTATGATTAAAGACACCACTAAAGCAACCAAATTAGAAAAAAAATTGAATGTTACATTAGCTGGTTATCTGGTAACTATTTATTATTATTATTATATTTTTTGTAAACAAACGATTTTTATTAATAATTGTTATCATTTAATCAATCAAAGGCTCGTTCTCGAACTTTATCAAAAAACATTTCGGAAATGTTTGAAGAAATTGAACAGGCAAAAATTGAATTAAATTCTTTTCGATCATTAAACATTTCCGAGAAGGATGTAATTCCTAAAAGAATGGAGGTACGTATTTATTTATTTATTTATTTATTTATTTACACTTTTTAATTTATTTATTAATCTTTAGACTATCCAAGATGAAGTTAATTATCTTATCAAGCGCGAATCGGAACTTCAACAGAGATATGCTCAACTCTCAACTGAAAAACACGAATTACAAGAGCGAATTAATAGTTTACAAAAAGAAAAAGAAAACAAAGATAATCAAGAGCTAATAAATGAATAACAAGAAATATACTTTTTTCTTTCTATAAACCTTTTATGCAGACCTTGATAAATTATGTATTGAATCTACCATATTTTATTTGTAAAACTTCATATCCATTGTTACTTAATATAAGCCCTTAATTAAAAATAAATATTCTAATTTGAAAATTTTTATGTAGAAAAAAAACTATACTATTTTTTTTTTTTTTTTAAAAATAAACAATTTAATACAATTGCAAAATTAGATGTGATATTCCAATAATTTATATTGCAATAACTATATTATGCATGATTGTAATTATTTCATCAAATGTACTTGGGATAGAAATTATACAAAAAAAAAAGAAACTCGACATAAATAGCAAAATGTAAAAACTTATGTAACTATGAATTTTTCGCTGAATATCATTATTTATCAAATCTCTTGGGAACAAGAGAATTTATTTCATCAAATCTCTTAAGAACAAGAGAATCCCTTTCCCATCTAACTCCAAAGAAACTCGTTCTTCATAAGTTGAATCAGGAAATCCAAATCCACCATCAATCGTTGTCTTGTGATGTATGCCATTCCAAATTATAACATCCGACATATTAGTTGTGAGAGAAGTACCTACTGTAAAGGTATGATGATAATAAAAGGCTGCGATCATACGTATGAGTAATAATGGACCCCATTTGTGATATATAGGACAAATAGCAGTTCGTGTAGTACCTTTAAAAGGTTTTCCTGGAGAAGGGTGACAGGGAAGTTGTTTTCCATGAGGAATTGAATAACATATGAACCAAGCGCCGAATTTTTCACTAAAAGAATATGCCATTTCTCCATCCGGCATAGGTCCTATCGGAGGTGGTGCCATAGGATCATGACAAGGAGTTTTACAATTAGGACATATCATCTGTGATGAAGGCATATATAACCATGTTTCTATACAAGATTTGTGAAAAACGTGCGGACAATTGTTCATTTTTACAATGTCGGAAGGTTGATTTAAATTGACTATCAATTCAGCACATATAGTACAGCTTTCCTGCGCTGCTTCCCGAAGTCGATTTTGTGTAGCCAAAGAAGTATATTGAAACAAATTGATAGACTTAGACTTTTCGACTAGTCGTCTTTTAGCATGTACCATTCCTTCAGAACTTTTAAGCTTTTTTAACAGATGAATAAACCCCTGGTCTAAATTTGATGAAGAGAGATTTGATTGTCTGGTGGACAAAACAAAGTCTAAATATGACACGAGAGATGGATAACCGTCATTTGATTTTGCTGGCCAGAACTGCTTATAAGCCATCGTCGTCACACCATAAAAGCTTAAAAGTCCACTTGATAAATCAACTTGGTGTGTCCATTGTTGTATCATAGCTTGTGCCTTACGAAGCATCCAATTCGATGAAGAAAAGGCTGTGATAGGTTGATGCACTTGCACTTGAGTTAAAATGGGATTGAAATTTAAAGAAAGTGGAGGTAAATTGAAATTGGCTAGTTGAATAGGTGGCAATGATGATGAATAATTATTACCACTTGAACTAATGCATCCATTGGTGTTAAATTGTGATGATGATGTATTTCCATTGTTAATAGGCCATTTAAAATTACTTTGATTGTTTGTATTAGATGAATTAAATCCCGTTATTGGTTTCATTCCTGGTAATTGTAACATGAAAGGATTGGCATGTAAAGCATTATTTCCCTGAGCTTTTTCATAATGTATCGACAAAATAGGTAAAACCTGAGAATTATCATACACCACATATTCATCAGCCACGGCAACGTAATGTTTAACACTGTGATATCCTTTAGGAGGATACTTTGTATGTGGGTTCACAGATTTATCTTTATCTTTTGTGTTATCGAATATTTTTCCAAGAGCAGTCACACAAACAACTAAAGCTCTTTTTGAGCTATTACGACTAGCGAATTGATCACATTTATATAAACTTGGTGATAAATATATTGCGGGTCCGCAATTACCAAAAGATTTTGAAAAACGACCATCCTATAATTCAAAGGAAAGAAGAAAAAAAATTAATTTAAAAATATATTTATGTGTATATAAATGTATAGTAATAAATGATGATAATAATAATAATAATAAAAACATACTAGACCGTGGTCCAATATGGATATGACGTTATCTGGTTGTGTTCCATGAAATAAGACCGTATCCTTAAATAAAGTCTCATACTCTGTTTGAAATAATGCATTGGGCTTCTCTTCTTTTTCTATAGCTTGTTGTAAACTCTTAAATTGTTGATACCTAAAATTGAGAAAAGCCTGGCTAATGAATACTCGAATAACAAAAGAAATTGATTTCAACGGATGACTACATACATATTTACCTTTCCCAAAGAGTTCTGTTTTGTAAAATTGAAATCATTGTTATGTTATATGAAACTTCTTTAAGGTGTTCTTTAAAATAAGCGGCAATGTCTATATATAATTGGTCATCTTTAGAAAGGTCGACACTTGTCGGAGGTCTCGAAAACGGAACATCAAAGTAACTGCGAACTCGGTCCAAAATTAGCTTTCCGTCTTCGAGTTGATATTCTCTTTTACTACTCATTTAACTAAAAAAAAAAAAAAAAAAATTCAATTATGGAAGAGTGATATGGTAACATATTTATATTTCAAAATAAAGGCACGTGACATTCTTATCATTTTAAATAGATCTCGGAATTACCCGTAAAATTGTTTTTGTTTCCCGCGTAGGCTTTTTTATCCATTCTTGTTTTACAATAAACAGTAAACTAATTTCAAAAGTCACAAGACGGACGATCAGATCAGTGTTATAAAAAATTTTGGTGACCTTTTGAAATAGAAATAGTCATTGAATAACTAGAAAATAATCCAAATTCATTATACATCTTTTATAGTTGTAACACGACAGGTGAAAATCTTTCCAAGTGAAGCGATAATAGAATATTTTTATTATGTATATTATGGGTCGAATTCGATACAAGTGTATTCGATTATATTAATAACGATTTATATATATATAAGTTGCAATTGCAATTTACTGATATTAAAATAAATACAATATAAACAAATATTAACTCAAATGTTAACCATCTATAAAGAAAGAACAGATAAATGTAGCATTATATATCTTCAAAAAATACGTAAAGGGAACTAACGCACATTGGTTTATTGAGAATTGGAAAAATTAGATGATTAAAATAAAACAGATCTACGAGAACTTTTCGTCAGAAATCTTAAGGGAAAATTGTACCTACTATAAATGTAAACATTCATTCCGAGGGTTTGACATCATCCTTCGTTTCTTTAATTTCCTTAGTCTCCTTAGTTTCCTGAGTTTCCTGAGTTTCCTTAGTTTCCTTGGATTCCTTGGATTCCTTGGATTCATTCTCTGGAGTTTCTTTGGTCTCTTTAGTTTCCTCTTCGGACTTTTCTTTAGGTTCTTTCACTGCAACTTTGTCTACATCTTTCTCATTGATTGTTTCATCTCCCTTCCTAAATATTGCAATATTTAGCTTTTGCATCTCATAAAACTTATCATGAAAGGTATTGGCATCTATTTGATCACAAGTACATGATTAAAATACAGATTTATTCATCGTATAATAAAATAACATACAATACTTACTTTCGGTATTAGAAAACCGAATCGCCAACGTTTCTGATTTTGCTTCACCATCAGAAACATCGGCACTAACATTCCACACCCATGAACGATCTGATCCAACGTTTGGAGAAAGTTGCATTTCGGATGTGACTGAATTACATACATAATATATAGGTTTAACCACCAACGATATTTATTTTTCAACTCTTTAGATAAATAAATAGATTTACGCTTACTGTAATGATTGGCGCAAACTTTATGAGTCTTGTCTCGTCGCATTACTAGACGAATTTTTTTTGTCTCTTTATGCTGGAGAAAACGAACGTCTCCTGTGCCGCGTTCCTTCCATTCCTTTAATGGTTTATCAAATCGAAAAAGTTTTGCGCGCCTTTATTTAAAGAAAAGATTATGTCATGCATAAATTAATTATAATAATTTTAATATGTTTGGAAGCTCGTAGAGTTAAAATGTTCATGTTTATATTATATTATTTTTTTTTTTTCATTTTCACAGAATTTCCTCCATTCAATCTTCAACAGTTTAGCAAACTTGCGATTCAATTTCTTCTTCTTCCAAATCGGAAGCTTATGAAAGCAAGTGAATATGCTGTTGACGCATTTCGGCTAACCTTCTTTTTATTTCTAGGTTTTACTTGATTACTCACATTTTAAATAAGACATCCTCGTCTTCTTCAAAAGTTTTTACTTCAACCTCGTCCAATTTGATGACGGGATCAAAGTGAATATCAGGTGAAGGGACTACGTCCTCCTATTCATAAAAAGACAAAATGAAAATAGTTTAAAGAAAGTGGTTTTGCATAACGCACAAACGCGTCAATTATTTTACCTCTTCAGTTCCCTTTGAAGATCCCGCGACAACTTGCTTGCTTTCGGTATCGGCCATGGTTGGAAATTTGGATTATGCGGGAAAATGGAAAATTTTTTTCTAAAAAAAAAAAAAAAATCATCATAAATAGAACGTTGCTGTGGAAATTACGCATTTGTCACACACACCTCCGTCTTGTCACAGGATCAAATTTAGATAATCAAATTTTACAAAATTTGTTACGCGACCGCGACTGCCAGACAAAAAAAAACAAATTTCAAAATTTCGTATAATTGTAATGAATTCTCGAAATAATTTCAATGTTGCACCTTTATTTTCGTGGCCACAGTTGTCTCCCACTGGCATCGTTCTTGAAATAGGGAGTTTAGGTAGCTGCTCTTACGGAGAGAGTACACCACGAAATATAAGTTGGAATTGCATGAACGAGGTCCAAACTTGTAAGGATCGCATGATTTTTTTATTTTTAATACTTAATTAAATAAGATTTCTTATAAATATAGATAATGGATTTGATATAAGACAAATTACAAGTATCACGCAAATATTTCCACATACGAGACGCTATTATCCTGATATACAATATAGATACCCTATTGCAAAAAGATCTTCCGCGAAATCCGTAGGTCACGCCTTGAAAAAAACTAATTAATAGCTGATTATTTATATTTACTTTAACTATTCTACGATAGGCTCAAATTTTAAAAGATTCCTATCCGGAATTCGATATTTCACAAGAATATATCGCTGCTACCTTCTTAGAAGAATCATACAATGAAAGCAATTATAAAATCTTTGACCCTTATATGAGCAATGAACTAATTTCCGTTGGAAGTTATGAGTTCGGTCCTGGGATGATTGAGAAATTCATGACTCTTCCAATGGGAACTTCCGGAACTGAATTAAGTAATGTTTCATTAAATTTCCTTTTTTTGAATTTTTATGATTACTCTAATAACTTTAAATCTTATTTATTTAAATACGAAAAGATTTTATTCCTTTGTCATATGATAACGCTCTCCGAGATTCGAATTATATTGTAAGTCAATATCAACCAGATTTGAGTAACATATCAACATTAAATTTCAAGACTCCTATAAAGCAAGTATCATCCTCAATATATGAAAATACTCCTACCATAAACAAAAGTCGTGATAATACTTTTAATTGTTGTCCTTGTAAGATTTATAAATATTATATATACCCTAGTCTTGTTTGATCAATGGTTAATGTTTTATTCTCCTACTTTCTATAGCTTTATTGGCAATTCGTACAATGTCTGGTACTACTTTCTTGAAAATAATAAATACGGGGTCGGAATTAAAAGCGATAGCTTTGGATAGCATAATACACGAAGACGACCTTGAGCACATGCATGTTACATTCAATCCAATGATATATGGCGAAGCAGCTATCGTGGATGGTAATGGTGGTATCCATTTATGGAAAGGAGAAAGGCATGAAGATTATTCAAAGTAATTATCAAATTTTTTTACATATACATGTTTTTCAATAATTGATTAATTTTATTAATTATTATTGTCTTCTATAATGTAATTTGTAGATTCTTTAAATATAATTTCAAGACGGTACATAGATCTCAAATTGACGTAGATTTACCTTTTAAGGATTTATGGAGGACTTGCGTGTATGGTGCACATCCCCAAACTCTCATTGTCGCTTCTCGAACTAGTGCAGATATCTTTGATTTTAGGGTAATGTCAAAGATGTATAATTATTAATCTTTGTAATTTATACGTTACTTATATTGATTTTATTTCATAACATATCCACTTTAGAGTAGAAGCGTTACATTACCTCAAAATCTTTTTGGTGTTAATAATAAAGATAAAATATTTTCATTTCAAAGATCACCCGTATCTAATGCATATGAATTTGCTTTAACCACACAAAACGATGTTATACTTTTGGATCAGCGATTTTCTAAAAGACCAATGCTTACGTGGGCACATCACCATAGCAGTCCTCCCAGTGGAGTAAATATTATAACGAAAAAACAAAGTAAATCTTTTCGAAATTATGTTTATTTCCCTTATAATAATATAATTTTTCTAATTTTCTGATATTGTTAAGCTTCAATGGTTTTAATATGGTCAAAGAATCCCCCTACTATAACATCATTTCAATATTTAACTTCCGCTTCCGGACCTGTAATATCTACCAATCAGCCTGTTTCAATTCCACCTTTTACCACGCATCCGACATTTTCTCGATCGAAATACTTGAGGACGCCTCATGCAATACGAGACGATAAGATCACGGAAGGATCGATTCAACAGCATAAATTACCCCCACTTTCGAGCGTACTATTACTTGAGAATAATGTTTCCTCAAGGAATTCTACCCATTTGGGTTCTTGTTTTAGTATTTTTCAACTTTCTCAGACTGGTGCTTTGTATTCACAGGTTTTTCAAGCTAGGGCTGAAACAGATTCCTTTATCCAGCAAAGTGTACCGTCAAAATTGCAAATTAGCGACATGCCAAATTCAATAGCTTCCCTGCATTATTTAGCAGACATGGATGTTGGTACTACGCCGGAATTACGTGTGAAGCAAAATCAAAGTTGGTCTTTTGAGAAATTATGGAATTGTGAGTATCTATTTTACATACAGTCGATTTTTTAGATCTGGGATTTAAATAACGTATTGTTCTAGATATTTCTAAAGACTTTAAATGTGAATCTTCCTCGAATAATATTTCTCCTTTTGTCCTTGAAACCGGTGCCTTATTTTTTTCATGGGAAAGCGTGGAAAATTATTTTGAACATTATGGGCATGCGTATGGCTTTAATTGTCAGAAAAGGTCCATCATAAAAGATCTTAATGGGAATGTTCGATCCTTAACTTATGCTTGCATGGAAGCACAAACCGCAAGGCATAGGATAATGATGCTCTGTGAATGGAGAATTACACTTTCATCTATCAAATCAAATGAATGTTTTATTGTAACCGAATTTATAAACCAACATAATCATGACCTTTTTTCGGCATTGTATAATTCTGAAGGATGTAGATCACGGATTGGCGACGACATAGATATGGGAGTAATTTCAACTGAGGATTCAATAAAAGAAGCTCTTATGAGTTTCGATACACTGCAAGAAAGCTATACGGACCCTTTTGCATTCCTTTTGAAAAAGTTTTATCATGATAATCGTTTGATTGTAGATAACACCGGACATCCTTTAACATTGTATCCTTTTTTAATTTTTTATTTTATGATATAATTCACAATATATTTTAAAACTTTTATTTCTTAACCTTAACGTAGATATGAAATATTGAGAAATATACCAAACTCTCACATTAATGGATCCGAAGCTCAAAGCGTTCAACAATTTTCTGAAACTTCAAAATTTAAAAAGGATTCATTAGAGTTGTTTGTTGAATGGTCTCTCTTCGATGTTAATTTGTTATTTGAGCATTTATGGAATGAAGATCTTAATTCAGCTTTAACCATTTCTCAAATATATGGATTTCCGAATATTAATGTAACTAAAAATCCTGCCGATATTGAGAAAGATATTAAATTCTATTTACAGAAAGCATATCCATTATCCGCTAATAAAAGCGGCGTCCTTGAAAATACTGATGTCGATGATCAAATCAAACGCAGTCGCCAAAATGCTATCGATGAAGTTTCAAGAGATCTTGTCGAATGTTCACAATCTTTTATTTCGAAACCTCAGAAGTGTTTGAAATTTTTATTATCTTCAGATCTCCTTCCAGAACAAAATTCAATAAATGACTTAGCAAATTCTGATATTTTTACGATTAAATGTAAAAAACCAATTAACGATGATGGATATGTAATGTCAACGGCAGCACAAGAATTGTTTGATGATTGGATTATAGATCAAAATCTCGAAGAATATGACTATAGATTCCTCGAAGATGTTATTGAAAAATCAAAAACTTCAATAAGTATTTTAGAAACGGAACAAGAGGAAGCATTACTTAATGAAACGGAAAATCCTTCTATAGGAAATATCGAAGGATATGAATCTACAAATTTCATGGAGAATGAGGTTTCGAATCGAGCAGAATCTTCACGGATAACGTTGCAACCTGCATTAAATGCTTCTGAGGGAGGAGGTTTGAATAAAATATTGGAAAAGCCAAAAAAGAAAAAACGAAGATCTGGTTTCCGATAATTAATACGTGCTTTTTCATTAACATTTCTGCTCTTATTAATAATATACCGAACACAATAATATAATAGATTTTAAAATATCAAATAAGTTAATATCATAATGTTTTGGTAGATTAGAAAGTATGAAATTTTACTATTTTTATTTATTTGATATATTGACAAGTATATCTTTTAGGTCGGATCAGATCAGTTTTTAGTTAGATTAATCAATTGAAAACGGTATTATAAAAATTTTTGTATAATCATATAATTTATATGTATTAAAAAAAAATGTAGATTTATGAAATCATTATATTTTAAAATGTTTTTTAATTTAAAGCTTATTTTATCAATATAAAAATATCATTTAAATATCTGTATAAAGAACTTTTTATAATAAAATCTAATATAATATAAAATTATAAATAAAAGATAAATTTATTAATTATTTTTAAAATAATTTTTTTATAAATATTTAAATATTTATAAAAAAAATTTATATATAAAATTAGTATTATTAATAATAAACATCAATATGATTTTTATTAGTTAAATGATTATTAAATATATTATTAATTTAGTTATTATTTAATCTTTAATAACAACTTATAATATTTTTAAATATAATATAATACTTCCTCTCTTTTTTTCTTAAAAATAAATAAAAAATTTTAAAAAATTAAATTTAAAATCAAAATTATTATTTCTTAAGCAAATATATTAATATTAAAATAAATTAAAAAATTTATTTTAATTTAATAAGATTATAAAATTGTAAAAAAAGTTTATTAAATTCTTATTATTTTAATATTATTTTATTTATTATTTAATTATATAATTATTTTTTATATATATGATTTGTTACTTTTTATTTTATTATTTTATATATTATTTATTATTATTTATTATAATTTAAATAATACAAAATTTTTCATTTATATTTAATATTATAAATAAAATGAAATTTAATATAATAGATAAAACTTTAAACAATTCAAATAAATCTAAAGATTTTCAATTCAAATTAATTCAAATTAATTTCAGATTGTATAAAAATCAATTTAAAAATTTTCAGTTCAAATTTTTTTATAAATTATAATTAAAAAATCTAAATTAAATTAAAAAGTTCAGATTAATCTAAAAATTCAATTTATTTATATAAAGAATTACAAAAGATTGCAAATTTTTTTAAAATTGAAAAAATTACAAAACTCTTAGAAAATCATAAAAATATCATAAAATTCTTAAAGAAGAAAATTACAAAAAGTTGTAAATTCTTTTTAAAGTTTGTACTTTTTTTCAAAACTCTTAAATGTTAGATTTTTATTCAGATAAATTATTTTAATATTAAATAAAGTTTTTACTAATGTACATTCAAAATTATATTAGTTATTTATCAATCTTTTTTTGAAAAATTGTCATTTTTTAATTTAAAAAATTCTTAAAAATTTTTTCTATAAAACAGAAATACAAAAATACTTAAAATAATTTTCTTATACTATTCTTATTTTGTATTCTTTAACTTTTAGTTAAATTATAAAAAAGAATTATAATGAGATTATTAATCACATAATAAATAATATAATTGTGTAATATTATATTATATATAAAAATTTTAAATTTAAAAATATTTATTTTCTTATATATTGTCACTGTAAAATCCTTCAATTTAGATTAGTCACGTTATTAAGTCTTTACTTAAAGTTATTAACTATAACTTACTACAGTTAAGGCGTTAGGATCTGCCTAACTCTTAACTTTACTAAATCTATAGGTTAAACTTAAATGAATCTATCAAGTATAAAGACTTGAAAAATGAGATTATGAACAATTTAATTAAAAAATTCAGATGACAAACTCAATTATAAATAATGTGTAAGAATCATATCAAACTATATGAAGACACAAGAGACAAAAAGATATAAATTTTAATTAATTTCTTTATTAATATTAAAACTCATATTTATAAGAGAGTTAATTTATAACATAAGCAAAAAATCTATCTATTTATACAAAATTTCTTTTATTACGGCTAATTATTTACTATACTATAAACTAATTAATTTGATAAATAAAATATAAGAAAAATAAAAATATGTATAATAATAAAAATATAAAATATAATAAAAATAATAATAAAAATTAAAATATCAAAAATAAGTATAATACTAAATATTTCTAGACTTTATCTAATTCATAAAATTAGGATTATTATTAGTATTTAAAAGATCTGCAAAATTATATAGATTTTCTGTATTTTCAGAATTTGTAGAATTCTCAGTATTTTCAGAATTCTGAATCAGGAGATCATTATACTATATCATTTACATGACTTTATTATTACTGGTCAATTGCTCTATTGATAATATTTAATTATACAAGTATAATAATTTATTTTTTATAAATAAAAAATTATTTAACAAATATATAATTAGAATTTATATTTTTAAAGATTTCTTAATTCTATTTATAATAAAAAAAATTCTATTTAAAAAATTACTCAATAGTTAAATTATGATTATTAGGTTGTATAATTAATAGTATATTTTTATTTTTATTTTTTATAAATTTATCATTTATTGCTATTCTTTTATATAGTTTTATATAATAAACTAATTATCTATTTTAATTTTAAGAAATTTTTTATAATTTTAATACAAATAAATAAAGAATTTTTATACAAAATTTGTGATTTAATTAAGTAAAAATATACTAAAAATTTTCTTGCAAAAGAAATCCTTAAAGTTATAAATTCAATTAAAGTTAACAAATTTGCTATTTTAATTACAGATAATATAAAAAATATTACAGTAATATATAGATTAGTTTCTTAAATATTTAATATTAAATATATTGTACATTATAATAATCTTATATTAAATAAATTTTTAAAACATAATTTTATTGAAAGAATAATTAAATATTATAATAAATTAGTAAAATATTTTAAAAATTCTTATATTTATAATAATATACTTGAAAAATTTATTTTAAAATATAAAATAATTGAAGAAAACCTAAAAAATTATATTAAGATAAAATAAGTTTTATTGCAAAATGTATAAAATTTAATTTTATATCTTAAAAATATTTATAAAAATATGTAATAATAATTTAATTAAAATTAAAATTATTTTTTTATAAATTGATTCTTTATTATATTTTTTATGAAGTAATATATAAAAATGAGATGGTTGGCTAAATAAAATAATAAACTAATAAAAGATATTGAAGTAGATCATTTAAAGAAAGGAATAAAGTACAAAATAAAATAATATCATATTTTAATCTGTATAATAGTAATCAGTATTAGAAATTAAATGATTAAATCAATTGAACTAATTGAATAATTATATATAATTCAAATATTTCAATAAACAATTGAACAATTAAATTTAATCCAAATTGCTAACTACTTTTTTAACCAATTAAAATATATAAAATAATATATAAAAATTTATAAATAAAATTTTATTTATTAATTTTTACTTATAACAAAAATATTAGTTAATAATTATATATATAATACTAATTTATTAAAGCATAGTTAGCATTTAACTATTACTAAGTCTAATATTGTATTAAGATTACAATTTTTCTAATAAGTTTATTATTAAATTTATTATTTATTTTACTGAATTCTGTAATAATATATTAATTTTTATATTATATATAAAGAGTTCAATAAAGATTTTGATATTAAGTTTTGCAGTAAATTTACTATTAATTTAAAGAAGATTCTCTTAATTTCTGTAATAATATTTGTATTATTTTTTTATATTAAGATTATTAGCAATTTTGATAATATATATAATAGTTTATTAAAGATTTTTTTAATCATATAATAATAATTCCTATAAATATCACAAGATTAATAAACAAAAAGAATGATTAAGATTAAAAATAATATATCTTAAAAATTTAAATAATTTTTAATTGAATATAATTAAAAAAATTAATACAAAGTAAAATTTATTAAAAAGTATTAAGTAAAAAATCTTTGGCCAATTTATTTATAGATTGAATATTTATATAATAAGCTCTATAATATATAATATTAATAAATTACAAATCTATTACTAATTACAAATATAATTTAATAATATTTACTATAGAAAAGTATAATAATAATATACTTATTATGTATAATATAAATTTATATTATATAATTATATGATAATTTAATTTATACAAATATATAATCTGTCTAATAATTTTTTTAGGTAATTATGATAATAATATTTATTATATAATATTTAGGAAAGAGTAATTAAAAAGTCTTAATATATATAGTATAATATAAGATTATTATAGAACAAAAGTAAAAGGTATAAGCTTATAATAAATAAATATTATGTAATAAATGTTACTGCTCTTATTAAAGAGATAATCAGATTAATACTTTTCTTTTATATTTTTCATTTTTACTATAATAATCTTTATTATATATATTTATTTATTATACATATTTTTATTCAATTCATTTGATATATTTTTTTTAAAATCATTATTATAATTATAATCACTATCATTATTTATCTTATTTTTATTTATTATTTTTACTATCTAAAGTATTAAATTTATTATTAAAATATACATTAACATAGTCTTTAATTAAAATTAAGAGTTTCATTTATGCTTTTAATATATCAGTTTAATTGATTTTTAAGCTAAAAAAAAATTGGATTTAATATATACATTTATTTTAACTTCTGGTAATTCATCTGAAAAATTAACAATTAAGTCATTCTGATTATTAGATAATTTAATGTTAGGATTTTTAAAGAAATAATTTGAACTTAACTATTAGATAATTTAGTAATAGAATTCATAATATATATTATGATATATTTGATTTTATCAATTTCTATATCTTAAATAATTTATATATATTTTTTATGCTCTGAGTTTATTTTAATAATATAGTATTAGAAAGAAGAAGTTTAATAAGATTGTTATAAATCATAACTTTTATATTTTTTTCTCACTAATTTTATACTTGATTATAAATTTTATGATCTTTTATCAAATTCTATAATATAGGAATACTAATATAATAATTATTTTAATTAGTTTAAATTGCTTTTTTTCTATATTTTATACTTTTTAAATTAAATAACTTAGATTTTAAATATTTTTAAGAAATTAACTATATCAATTTTTTTAGCAGATCATCACAAAAATTTCAGTCATAAGATTTTTCTTAAATATTGAAATAGCTATAAAATCAAATACATTCTATATAATATTTTTTGCCTTCTTCTTCTTATATAATTAAGATTTATTATTCTTTGTTATAGAAAATATGGTCTTATTAAAAATTTTAGATAAATCTTAAGTAGTTAATTTACATAATAATTTCTTTTTCTATTTTTATATCTAATTTATTTATTAAATTTTCTTATATATCTTATTTAAGAAAATATCTGTCTATTTTTTCCTTATTGACTTAATATTTTGTCTATCTTATCACTATTTACTTTAGGCTAATTTATTATAGGATCAGATATATTATGTAAAGTGAAATGCTTTTAAGGCCTAACATTTAATTATGATATAGCTATTACTTTTGATATTTCTTCTTCTCTAATAGAGCATAAATTTTGTATATTAGTAATATGCTAGAGTTTTTAAGATTTCATAAAGTTAGATAAATCAAAATTATGTTTCAATTTGGCTAATTCAACTTTAAGGTCAATATTCTTAACTGAAATATTTGCACTATTTTTTCTTCAATTTTTTAATTCTAATTTGTGTTTAATATTCTCAATATTACATCTGACATTAGCATAGCAAATATATCTATATTATTATATTGATCATTTATTGATCATATATAAATGAATTATCACATTATATAAAATCAGCCAATCCTAAATTAAAAGCTTCAAACAATATAATATATAGTCAGATAACCTCTATAAATTAATAAATTCAAGGTTTAGATTATGTATATATGATCCTAAAATAGTAAATTATAAGATTAGATGTTATAAATAAGTTAGTTTAAGGCTGAAATAATTAATTAAATAAATTATATAATAAATTAATTTTTTTAGACCTTAAAGATTTAGGCAAAGCTATAAATGCTTGGCCAAATTATGCTAACTATTATATTTGGTATTTTAAGTTATGTAACAATAGCTAAATTATAATAGTATTTAAATTAGATTTAATAAATTTTAAATTATAATAAAAACTAATACTTTTTTTTTTTATGATATATTATGAATTTTATATATAATTTTAGTATATTTTATATGAAAATTTTCAATTAGAGACAATTAACATAAAAATCTATTGATTTTTTTATGCAATTGCAAAATATTGCTTCTAGTAAAACTTACCCAATAATAATTAGATTTTGATAAAATTTCATTTTATTATATTAATATAAAGCTACTTGTAAAAAATTAACTTATATTATTATGTAGGATTTTCCAATCGTAGTAAATAAAAAAAAAATTACATTGATTTTAGCATTTTTTTCAAGTAATTGCAAAAATGTTACTTCCATTAAAATTTTCGATAAATTTCGGTATGTTATTTTTTTTTAATAATTTAAAGCTGCTTGTAAACAAATTATATACAGTATTATCATGTAGAATTTGCCAATCGGAGCTAATTAACTTTAAAATTCATTGATTTACGGTGATCAAATGAATAAATGATCAGCAAAAAAGATCATGTAATTAAGCATGTCCGATATGCCTCAATAATCCGTCTCAATTTCGCATTCTCATTCTTAAGCTCAGCATTCTCGCCCTTAAGCTCGTTTTTTCACCTTCAAGGTCGGCAATGCGTTGTTCCAATATTTCATGTTGATTGATAATATTTTTATAGAAGATATGAAATATTTAAAAGTCTGTTAGCATTATAAACATTCTGCTAAGAAATTTGCGTAACGGGAAAATGCCAAGAATCCAAAGAGATGTATCTCATCTTTCTACAATCCTAGATGACATTTATTGTGATTTAACTTTCCGTGTTGTTTCAGATTTATAATATTACACAAAATTCGTAAATGAATTCTCTTTCGGGATGAAATTATTCCTTACATGGTTAGGTAATGATCGATAAAAGTGATACATTGAAAAAGTGTTGAACACAAAATTTCAGTATTACACTCTTGTTTGATGTTGTTTATCATGAATTTCAACATGAGAAATTTTACTTTGAAAAACCTCCTTGTAGTTCTTACGATATTTGTCATCTTCGTTAGTAATGGCTCTAGTGTTAATACTGGGGTCATTGAAGCAACGTTTAAAAAAAATGATCAAGATAAAGAATTAGTAGCCCGGCAACAAACGACATTAAAATGTATTGGATACTTTAACGGTGACAAAATTAATAAAGCTCATATAGACTTTAATATTGGTGGGATTATGATACCTGAAAATGCAATTTACGCGACATTAACTGCAGAATGCAACAGTAAGGTTGTAACGCTTAAACCTGACAGTGCCAAATCAAAATTAGTAAAATACATTAACAAACAGTTCGTTCCTATGAAAACACTTTACGGAGTACAATCATTAGGAAATATAGCTGCATCTCCTAAAAATTTTGGATGGTCTGTTATTGGAAATTATTTACTCCAGGCAGACCCTTCTGAATGTCTTAATGCTAATGAGGAATTGATTGGTATGGCTCAGATGTGCGTGACATTCAATGCGCCCGCCGGCTATAAAACAATATCTGAAATACCATGCGCGAAAATAACATCGATCGTAGAAGATTGTCCTCAAAATAACTCGCCAGATGCAATTTTAATAGAAAAATTAAATAAATTGCTAAATAGATTGGCCGAATACTTCGCATACTCAATGAGTAGATTTGAAAAGGTGAAGAAACCAGAAGATGAAAAAGCCAAGAATTTGGGAGATTGCTTTAAAAAGATGGCATTAAATATAAAAGTAACCGTAAAAGAAAATGACATTTTTTGCGTGACATGTGATGAAATGGATACTTTATCTAATATTAATAAGGAATCAGAATTACAAGAAGACCGAATAGAAGTAGTCCGAAATTTGTTAAAGAAATCAAAAGATGTTTTCGAATGCAAATTTGAGATATGTATTGACAAAAATACTTGCGTAGAAAATAAAGAATCAGTTAGTAACGATGGCATCTCAAGATTTTCCAGAAGTGCCATTACGATTATGGGAATACCTTTATGTATAATGTTAAATCAATGAAAAGATAACTTATTTTCTATCCAGAAAGAAAAGTTATATAAAATAAAAGAACAAAATTATACAAGGCAGAAATCAAAAAACCTAGATCTTTTGTCACGAAATATAAAAGCGTCTGTTTTTAAAATTGATGAAAAAGCGGACATTGTAATTAATAATGAATGGTTCCATTTAAGAAATATTTGAAAAGTAATTGGTTTAGGTTTTGTTAATAAAAATTATTATTTTATTATATCTGTATCTTTATTTTAATAAATATGATTATGTTATTATTGAAACAAATAATTTTAAAATTACTTTAACATAAAAAAAAAATGACAATTATCCCTTTACGTCGGTTGGGTCTGATCCGTCACCAGCCAGATCGAACTCCCAGATATTACATAAATCGAACACGCCCTTTTTTCTTAAAAAAGTATATCTTATTCTTTCGAAGTACGAAAAACGGCCGGTTGCCCTATCATATGTGTGTTCATGCTTGGCAGGATTACATAATGCTATGCCCATTGTCCTCTCGACTTAGCCACACATCCTCAAAAAATATCCGATTCCATTAATACGATTGGGTAGGAATGATAATTATTTTGCACAAACTCTAACTCTCGTGCTAATCTTTTTAACGCTAATTTAAGCCCAATTATATAAGATTTTCCGTCCTTTTTTTCTCATAATTCAAAAAAAAAAAAAAAAAATGCCTATCCCAGAAGTGTAAATAAAAAATACTCCAAGATTTTTTTTCTCAATAGTTAGGTTATTTCCCGCAGTGCCAAAAGTAAATATTTATTAAAACAATCTAATAGTTATGTAAGCACAGTGACTTGCCTTCTCCGGCTCGTATATATACATCGTATCACTAGTCCATCTTATGGCGATGAGATTTCTTCAACAAATTTAGCGCAATACAATTTTTCGGTTTCTTGAATTAATGCACCCTCGACATCCCCATTGGATCTTCTGGTATTGTTGGTGAAGTTAGGAGAAACTTTTCGCCCATAAAATTAGATAAGGCTGAAGTTCCGCTTGATTGAGATGATTGCGAATCTCTCCTAGTCAGTGTTGGCATTGGACCTTGTCCAATTCCCAATAATGGACTATTGGACTTTGAACCAAATGGAGATGTCCAGTCCAATTCAAATACAAATGGACTATGAATATATAATTTTGGTCAAATTTATAATGCTAGCCTAACTTAAAAATTTGAACGATAATAAATTCGTTCAACTAGAACGATTCTACTGACCCGACCTGAATTTTTCAGGTGACAGAGAGCTTGAATTAATATTGCTAATTATTTCAAATTTACCTCATCCTGCTAGAAATAAAAATTCTAAATGGAAACTTTAAGATATTTTTAGGGGAACCTAATTATTTAAAAAATATCAATAAAAATGATTTACATAATATAAATTTATATAAAGTTATAGCTGTTGGATGAAGTCTATAGTCCAATAGTCCAAATTTTAATGGAATTGAAATGGATTAAGTCCAGTAGTCCAATAGTCTAATGACCCAAAAGTCAATTAGTTTAAAAGGCCAACACTGCTCCTATTAGAGGTGAAAACTGGATATATGATATCAACTTTCTTTTCACAATTAGGAAATAGACACATGTCTGGCCTGGTAATCATGAACTTATTCACAAGAGAATACAGTGAACATCTTGAAAGGGAGTGTCAAATATAGTTCATACATTCAGAACATAGCCCTAGCTTCAGAATTTCTTTATCTCTTACAAGGTCATCATCAATATTTCTTAAGATATTATATTTCAGGTTTCTAATAATCAAAAGAGAGGGGCTGTCAATGAATTTGTTTCAAATCTGATATATTAGTTATGCTTACTTTACAAATACTTTTTGTTAACATGATTCATTTAATCTGTTTTTATAGGGCTATTAAATTTTACAAGAACAAATATTTTCCTGATCTTCACTAGCAATTACATACCATATTTTATTATTTATTAATCCTTCTTGCAAATCAATAAAGATGACTTCAAGATTAACATATGCATTCTTAATTTTATATGCAAAATATGATTACCAAAAAATATCTATATTTAAATGTTATTATTATTAATATGATAATATTATATCTGAAAATATGATTCACAAAAATAAATATAAAGTTAGAATGTAGCCTGTAATACATTTTCATTATTGTTTCATTAATAAATAATAAATCACATAAAAATATCATAAATAATAATGCTTATATTATAATATAAAAAATTTAATTAAATTGCACTTATTAACTAAAATTAAGACTCTATTAATCCCTTTTCAAATTATTATTTAAATTAGTATTCCTTCTGTATATTTTATAAAAATTATATATTTGAATTAATAATAGCTATTTAACTATAAGATTAATCACGACTAAAATTACAAATTAAAAAATAAGATTAATTACTTACGTTTCTAGCAATTTCTTAATATCTATATAATTATATATAATATTTTTACAATATTATAATAATTTCCTGATAAATCTTCTGATGCTCTATCAAAAGCCTATAGAGTTTATCTATTTTCACAATTTATAGAATTTATGATTATATTTTTTTTTATTAAATGATGTAAATCTATCCTTATCTTCTAATATAAGTTCTCAAATTTAAGGATCATCACCTTTTCCAATATTTTTAATAATAAGTTATTTATTCACAATAACACTTTTATGATCTATAATTACAGATAATATTAAATTGGTAATAGTTGCAAAATCTTATAATTATTTTAATGATAGTAATAGTTAATTTATTAGACATTTTGAAAATAATACTTAAAATTTTAAAATTTTGAACTTAAGATATCATTATATTGTTAAATGGAATAACTCTTGACCTAATGATCAATATTTCGATGAAAATAGTATTATTAGAACCATTTTGATGAGAGCTTTCTAACGAATATAAGTTCGACCTGATTAGACCAATATTTAGTGAGATATTTTGAAAAGATTGTTAAGTATAATTCTGTAGATCATTGCTAAACAAAGATATAATTTCTTAACGCAAATTAGCGATCGACTGACCGAAATTACGAAAACAATGAAAATGACAAAAACTATCATAATGACAAAACTGATGGTAACTCTCTCTTCCGTTGGATTTTGTCCAAGAATTTTTATGTAAAAAACATGTTTGTTCAAGGGCAGCCACATCTTAGCCTGCAAACAAAAACAACAACTCCCCTTTTCAAAAATATTCCTCTCTTTATTCCCATACCCTCAACCAAAAAATATTTTATTGTTAGTCCAAATAGTGGTATTTTTTTATTAAAATATTTTTTTCGTCATTTCTCTCAAATATTTTTCTCGTTTGTTTTCCTTTTTCTTTTTTGCTTACAAAAAGTAGGCATCAAGGGTATCTGAAATGACGATCAGGATCGACATATCTTTGGGCATAAACAAATCTCACGTAATGACTATCTAATTACCTTCATAAATAACAACATTCTTTTGAAGATCTTCTGATGTCATAAAGTTCGCAGATTTTAGCAGAATTTTCTAGTTCTCGCAACTATATATTTTGGGTTCTGTACTTTTGCCAACAGCTGTAATTTGAATTGACAGATATATCAACATAGAAGTTTGAGATATTCAAAGAGCCTCCAACAGAATTTAGTATTATGGGCACTCCTGTTGTGGGAGGTCGTTGTAATTTAGAATTAACTAGGCATTTTAACTAGGAACTTGTTGGAGTTAGTTGTCTTTTTTAACCTTTCTTTTTTCAGAAGCTAATCTCAGGTTCGTGTGCTCTGGAGAGTATTTTTCTTTTTGTTTCATAGTCAGGAGATTAGTGGTTAGTTTAAAGAAAAGCGTTGTGTTGCTGACAACTTCAT